CGTTAAATCTTCATTGTAAACGGTTCGAGATAGCCGTGGTGAAATCTCGGAGTGAATCCTATTGGCAAGGGTTGTTTGCCAAACTAGTGCGGTGCTTTGACGGAGTTCAAGAGGCCGGAACTTAGTGGATTCGGAAATCCTTGAGGAGGAGCCTCGAGGTACTGGAGTAGGGAGTTCCCGAACCAGTATAAAATCGGTGTGCATTTTATTTACGCTTTTATTTCTGCGTTTTATATATTGCTTCCGCATTTGCCAACACCATTTTTACTTAACTCCGAAAAGTTTTTAAACGCCTTATTCCCCCCCCCCCCTTCTAAGGCGTGGGCACAACGTTTAAACCGACTAACAAGACCGACAAAATATGTTAGTGCGATAAAAAAGGTTTTGCATTAGCATTTTGTGCCTCTATGACCCATCAATTTGAGGTATAATTTTTGGGGTATAAGTAGCTTAATTCATATATTTATTAGAAGTGAAAATATGCAAATGTGCAAAAAGCTTCTAGAAAAAGGATAGGTATATTCATAGTTTTAAAAGACAGATCAAACCGACCAGAAACCGGTGGTCAAGCCCTAAACACCATATTATGCTTCGGACCGGCTCGAACAGGCCGGTCGAACCGGTGGACCTTTTTTTTGCGAACTTCTTCAAAAATCTTAACACGCATTAGATTCAAACACCTGACCTTTTGTAACTTTTAAGCATAAACTGGTACAATATCACTCTTCATGTAAAATAGAACTAATATCACGTCAAAAACAAGGTTATTAAGTAGCCTTCTCATGGGGCGATGATGCTATTTAAATTCTGTATATTTCTCCTTCAACGAATCGCAATTGATATTTAGCTCGATAAACGAGAAAAGTATTACAGGTCAAGCACACGTATTTAGCTATCCGATTTAGCTTGCCCCAGATATTCATGTGCATCAATTACCTCCATTCTCAAATGCCTTCCAAAGTTTGAGGGACACGTAGTTGATTGCGAGTAGTGAGTTAAAAATTTAAAATAGAATGGTTGTAAAACATATTGAGTGAATATATTTGGAACCATGCTAGAGGTACCACAGGAAATGTACCCCAAAGTGTACACCAAAATTGTTCACTAACACTTTGAATGTTCACACTGACACAATATACTTGTGTGATCAAAAAAATTTACATTAACATTTTGTGCATGTATGACCCATCAGCTTAATATCACACTGACACAAAATAAATATGCATATATGCAGCGTACAATTTGGAGTACAACTTTTGAGGTACTAGTAGCTTAATTCATATACTATTTATTAGAAGTGGAAATATGCAAATGTGCAAAAAGTATCTAGAAAAGGATAGATACATTATTCATCAAATGTGCAAAAAGTATTTAGAAAAGGATAGATACATTATTCAGATCGTGTGTAATGGTTCCTGCCCTTTCGGGGTGTTTTCTGCCATGTGATCGGATTGGTTCTACAAGAGGTTCTATAGTGGACCTAAGGTCTACATGGAACTTCTCACACTTTTTATATTTTAAAAATGTTTATTTTCATACTTGAAAATGCTTATTTTACCTACATGAATATCTACTATAGATCTTAGTTGCATGTAATAATTCATCTAGTTCTATCCTCAATTTATTAGAGTTTGATATGATATTATCTAATTCTGATCTGATTCTAATTGAAATTAAAATTATATTTGATATAATTCAATTAGAATAAAGTAATAAAAATAAATTTAAAAAAATGCCCTTAGCGGGTCAAAATAATTCAAACAAAAAACCATTGGGACAGTGACAAGAAAAGAATATTAGGCCATGAGGTGTGGGTCAAAATAGTTCACCCCTTTCTTTTCTTTTTTTAATATACTTCTATACAACTATTTTAATTAAAATTACTTAAATTTAATTAAATTTGTTATTAATATTAAATTTTAAATTACAATAACAAAACTACGAGAAAAAAGTCGTGAATCTAAATACTAAAAAAACAAAGCAAGAAACATTACGTTATAAAAACAACATTAAATTTAAAAGTAATATAAAAAAACATTAAACACTAAAACAATCCAAATTTCTGTCTAATACTTCCTACTAAATTTAAAAGTAATATAAAAGAATTAAAAATTTGTTTTAAAAAAACTATTCATCATCGTGATATAATAACTTCTCTGGTACTACATTTAAAAGTAATAGAAAATTAAATAATAAAAGAAATTTTAAATACATATGTGTGTATGTGTGTCTATATATATATATATATATATATATAGAAAATTAAATAATAAAAGAAATTTTAAATACATATGTGTGTATGTGTCTATATATATATATATATATATATATATATATATATATATATAT